CGAATTCGCGTCTTCCTCTGAAACCACGTCATTATTGATCTATAGCGCTAGATGTTGGCGGGTGCTCGAAACATTGTTTCTGAAATGGTTCAACAACAATTTTGTTAATGCTTTCCATTTGGAGTCGCAGATCTTTGTCACCGATCCCCTCAAAGTAAATGCCTCGCACAAATTCAGTCAGAACTTTGCTGCAAAATCACTGAAATTTAAATCCTTTTCCTTCTATCGCTACACCAACGGTCTTTGCTCCTCAGAATTCTACTCCATAATGCCGCCGCGCGATGTGCCCTGCCAGTCAGACCGGCACGGTATCATGTAAAAAACCTATAAAACGTCAAAAAAAAACCTATATGATGTCAACTTGCAGACTAGGTAGTTTTAGGGCGCAAACAGTCATTCCACGTTTGCTCACTAGGATCGTTGTGAACGTCCATCTATGAAGGAATCAGTCAACTAAACTACGCATTATTGGTTGCATAGTTTTGTGAGGCTGAGTGATCCGGGTCTGTAGTTTTTATTTCTGAGAAGAATGTTGGTGGAATAGCAAGATCGCATCTGACTGATTATGCGTATTGGTCTGCATGTGTATAAAGTCAGTGATATTTGCTGTGTGAGAAAATTATTACTGAATATGCCGAATATGACGGGTTATTTATATGTTTTGCTTCTGAAGAGAGGTTATGTTCAAAGTTATAAATTACGAAAGACTGAGGAGAATTAAGGGAAATCATCGCCGCGCCCGCGTTGTGTATAATTACTGTTAGCATGTATATGGCTTGTAATTCGACAGTGTACAGTGATTATAATTATTTCTTATCTCTCTCATTTTGAAATTCAACAAATTTGTATATGTAATTTCCAGAATGGATAAGAAAAAGTGGATGCGTAACTAATTCTAGCTCTGAATCTCAATTGAGTGTATTTGAGACAAGAACCCAATGTAATTATCATCAGCACATACAACTTACAGCTTAGACCTCCAGTGATGTCATCTCAGAAGCAGAACAAGTACACTAAGTGCTAAGTTAATATCTTGTACAATAACCTACATAATGTCAAAAAACAGCATAATGTCAAAAAAATCGCATAATGTCACTTTCAAGTTACGTGATGCTGCTGCCGTCTACCTTCAGCCTCCCGTTCAGACCATGTACATCGAGAACTGTCCTATATGATCGCTCCTTTTTCCTAAGGTATTGAGATTGTGGAATAATCAACATGATGAGGCTTTTCCCAGTTCTACTAACCTTAGGCAACTCCTCATAGCAGTCCTTACTGCAGAACTTTTTTAATCATTCTGCCCCTCATATTTACTTATCAAAGTCTTCTCTTTGGATTTGTTACGGTACCATTTTTTAAAAAGCACGCGGAAATCCTAAGTTTGTAAATTATTCACCCCATTACCATTTTTATGTAGTCGCTGAATAAACCAAAAAGGCTACCGAGGCAGTCGAACCATTAGTAAATTCTGTTTCATGTGTGGTTCTGATTCTGGGCCAGAGAAACATGATGACAGCTCAGCGAGACAACCAAAGCCTTAGCACTTACATTAGAAATTAGCTCTCACACACTCAGTGTAAGACAAGTTTGTACAGATAAGGGAATTGAAATCATGATATTTTCCCAACATAATATAGGACTAATATCTAATAATATCAATGAATACCGATTTCTCTCATCTTGAAGCTTGTTAGCCACTTTTTGGATTGCTGTTAGTCTGAAAACCTCGCTTGGCATCTACTATACAGTTACTCTAGCTGTATATACAACACATTTCTTCTGACGGACAAGTAATGACTTGCTTATAAAAATGATTTTCATTCCTTATCATGATATGTTCCAGACAGCAAATCGACATGCATAACATTAAAGATTTTTCCAGCAAGCACCAGGTGAGAGTTCGATTTCGCATCTTTCTTAATAGCCAAAATGGATCCCATATTCAGCTGACCTGGAAAATTGCCTTTACACTGATAGTATAGAAAATTAACGTTCTTCGCTTCAGCCAGATGGTGCTCAATTGCGTCTACAGGCTATAAAATATTCATTCTAAGTAAAGCGGGTTATTCATATTCATGAAGGGACTGTAGAGCTTCTTGTTCCGACAAGCCTCGAGAATCTTAGACTTTTTGATCGCCGTGCCGTACATACATAGACACGTATCGGCGACTTTTTACACCGAAGTAGCCGCGCAGGCAGAAGCCAAATACTGGGACACCACGGCTGCTACGAGGATCCCAAAGAAACTTTGTTGTCTGCTTAGCAGGTACATAGAGCGTCCCGAGACTGTCTGGACGGTTCGAGAGCTATGTAGTCGGGGCGAAAGCATC